GTTTTGAATTAACTGTTTAAATTTTCACGGTAAAGATGAGAATCATTTTTTACAAATATTTGTTGATTTTATTGGATTTTTTCTTTTAAAGAAATAACCTGTTCTGATGAAGGAATCAAAGTGTTCCAATTTAGGGAACCAATTGCCTTGTTTGGAACAAAATGGTAACTTAGCGAAAACAAATTTATTTCTAATAACAGTGCAATCAATTAATTCAAATTGTGGTTAAAAGTATAACAGGGATGTCTATTTGTATTAATCAAATCATAAATGTTTTTATAGATAAGCCATCTTTGGGTAATAAATATTTATTCCTTAAATATTCCAAGTAAGGCAACCCTCCCCTAATATAAAAAAGTAAAGTCTACAAATTTTTATCTACAACAAACAAAATTAAACATTTGTAGCAAATAATGATTATCGTTAATAATAATGCGAAATAAAAAATATAAAAAGCATTAATAATATCAATAACAAAAATATAACCGGTTAAAAGAAGAAAAGGAAATGGAGAGAAGTTTAGCAACTTGGAAAGAAGAGTCAAAGAAGGAGAAGTTGTAGGAGAGTTTTGTTATGTACCAGAATTTTTAAAGCATAGTATTTTAAAAGTAGAAATATTGAAAATGCATTAAAAAAAAATTAAAAAAGTAGAAAAAAAAAAAAAAAAAAATGGTTATAGAGAATTGGGCGGGGCGATTGTAAAGAAAATAAATTATTGTTTATTTATTACAAGTTACATGGTTTAGTAACAATATACCCGGCAGGCACTCAACGTTGTATAATCGTTTTATTTACGTTAGATTTTATGTTAGTATAACGTTGCCGGTTCGGCAAAATGGAAAGGTTTTATAACGTAAAATTCTAACGTTAGATTTACGTTAGATATTAACGTAAAATTCCAAAGTTAGATTAACGTTATACTAATGTAAATACAAGTTATAAAAACATTGGCGTTTTATTTTAACGTAAAATATTGATTGTAATTGTGTAATAATTAATGTTAACTTAAAATTGTGTAATGTTTAATGTTATTCATATAACACTGAGCCGAAGCCCTTTTTACGCGGCTTCGTGTCATGGTTATTAATAACCATGACACGATGGCTTTTGGTGGCTTTTATGGTTTTTTTTTTAAAAAACATTTAAAAACATTTATTGTATTTTTAGTTTGAATATCCCATCATCAATTTTCTATAAAATTAGTCATGATAGGAATAATGATTTGGTCGTAGTTTTTTAATTTAGTTTAAATGTTGTGTTTAACATTTCTTACCACAGGAGTTTTTTTATCAATTAACCTTAGATACTTGTAAGTAAATTTGATTTTGTCCCATTCAATCAGTGTTTCATTCATTATAATTCTCCCCAAACATAATTATTAAAATTGTTTGTTTTTCTAAATTACTTTTCTTGGGCTGGATTTTTCTATAAAATTTACTCACAATTTAAACAGTTTGATTATTCAGAATTAAACAAAAATATATACCTGACCATAACATTTTTTGTATTTTCTTTAACATTTTTGCTCCTGCTTTTATGAGGTGACAAAGCTAAAGCATAAATAAAAGTTTAGAGAAAAGTTCATGTAGAAATAAAACAGAATTAGATTTATTTGGTTATTTTTCACAGTTGTTTTATAAAAGAAACAAAATAATAATACCAATATACCGCAGTTGTTTTATAAAAGCAACAAAATAATAAGACCAAATATAAGACAAAATAATTTAACAAAAATACAAGACTGTATAAAACTCTACAGAATTTAAATGGCTCACTAAGATATTTCTCGATTTATAAGTAGGAATTTTCCTTTTAAACCATATAATTTAAACTTTGAGAATGATTTAAATAGACTCATCAAAAAAACGATGAATTTAAATATTATTAAACAGACAAACTTTAAAAATAGAAATTATAAATATAAATTACCAATTTACTGTACTCGCCGTTGTCTTTTAATCTGGTTTCAAGCTCATAAAATTCTTCAAGGGACTCTATCTTTTTAAAAATGGTTACGCTTACACTTTCTGATTTTTTATTGCCAAATTAGCAACACTTTTTCTCAAGAAGTAATTGAAGTTACATGAATAATACTAAAAACCATTTGCAAATATTAACTCATACTCATGCAAAAAATCATATAAAAAATCATCACAATTATTTGGCTTGTTATCACTAACAAATAATGCTACAGTAAATGGTGTCACTGTGTCAAACATACATAATATATTAGAACTCTCAGTTCCAGAAGCATATTTATGATAAGAGACAAAATAAAAGTCACTATAGTTCCCAATTTTAATGTTATTGAAATCAATCCAACTCTCGACTCTATTAATAATAGATTTAACATATGATGTAAGTCAATTTCTTCATTTACAAGTACATTGTTTAAGGCTCGATCACTTTGGCGCCATACCTCCATTTTAATAGTTTTAACAATAACAAGGTAATAATAAAAACTAATTACAATCAAAAAAAAAAAATAATAACAAGAAGAAGAAAAATTGATTTTAATTAATATAAAAACAGGATTAAACTTATTTAGAAAAGTTAATATTCTTATAATTCCTAAACTTCAAAGAGTTAATATTCTTATCCTCTCATCAAACTACATTTGTTCTATGTAAGTTTTTGACTCGCTAGCTCATTAATCTTAAATAGTTAAATGTTTGTATTTAATTGTCATAATTAAAATCATACAGTTGAATGTTTGTATTATAACTAAAATCTTAAAGTTAAAAGTCTTACTAAATAGTAATAATTATTAGTCATAATTAGGCCAGAAAATAAGCTGAAAACAGTTTTTGGAAAAACAGTAAGAGCGTTTGGTAGCATTTATTAGCTTTGGTTATTTACACTAAAATAAAAAATAGCTTAAAATAAAAACTGAAAAAAAAATTAAGTATTACAGGTTTTTTAACAACGAAATGTTAACGTTAAACTTTAGTTTGCAAAATTAGCTTAACGTTAAATTATTAAGTTAAATACATTATGTTTACTGGGCCGGGTGAATAAAAAATAGCAATTGCTCACAAGCAATTGCACTGAATAAAATTAAAAGCTAAAAGCAAATGCTCGCCGTAATAGCAATCGCTCAAAAATGTGTGAATAAAGTTTTGCTAATGCTCGCAAGCAATTGCTTTTGTGTCGGACTAAAAGCTATATGCCGTTGT